CCAGGAACGGGTTGAAGGAAAGTGGGAAAGATCGCTGGCAAAGGGGGTCGCGAACCACCTCATCAAGGCGCCGAGATATTCCAACAGGATCGCAACCAAGAATCAAATCATTGAAAGGGCGAAAGAAGTTATTGCCGAATGCACAAGGAGGGATGAGAACATCCGCTCAACGAACTTGTCAACGCCAAGAGGACAAAAGAGGAGCCGTGGAATGTGAGCATTGCCAGAACTTGTGAAAGCTTCAACAGTGTTGATGGAAACATCTTATGCCCTGCGTGTATGAACGTGACTCAAACATCTTCACACTGCGCTTACATTGCCATGGACGATTCTAAAGGTGCGGAATCAGAAACACCGTATCTACAGGCACCGTCATTGAGATTGATGATGATGACGAGGAAGCAGAGAAGAAGGACGATGTTGAGATGGAACAAGTGGATGATGATGACAAAGCCGAGCGAGACATCATCGACGAGGTGAAGATGGGCGAGGTCAAGAGTGCAATGCAAGCTCAAGTCATACCTGACGACGACGACGACGAGGAGGATAGCCCAGAACACATCGAAGACTTCATGAAAAAGAAAGATCTAGAGAGTCAAAAAGGGAAGAAGGCCACGAGCTGTTCACCCCATTCTTTCAGATAGAGTGGTCGTGGAAATCGAAGATCCAGAGAGCAAACACGACGATGAAGGAGTTGACGATGATGATCGAGATGATGAAGGACCAAAATCCTACCATCCAGAAGACCAACTCGCCAACCATGAACTCCCAAAATGGTGCAGATATCCAGAACCAATACCATTTGACTCTCAAGATGAAGCTGGATGCCAAGACACAGTCACAGGATCATCAGAACTCATGGATAGATATCTTGTTCGACGCATGGCCCAGATAATCAAGCCGATGCATACTTCGTATCATCAAACTAGTATTGCCAAATTCCGCGCTACCTTCGCAAGGAAGAGATTGGATGTCATGTCTGACTTCACCAATGGGGTACACAATGGGTTCAATGATGACGACATGCCCAACGACCCAACCGACCAACAAATGGAGGAATTTGCAGAATCACATGCTACGAGGAGAGCTGATGATTGGGAAACTTGCACTACAGACAAGAGAGCATTTGACCGTTGGCGTAGTGTGCTTGAGAAGGAACAATCCAGAAATTGGTGGACAAATATGAAGGCTATGGAAAACATGTCTTGGACAGCAGGTGGAAGCCTATTCAACCCAGTGTCGCTCCTGAGATCGAAAGACCTCCGTCTGAAGCAGCGTCACCAAGCCATCGTGCTCAAGCACAAGAACGAAAAGGAGACGGAAAGGAAAAGATCTATGGTCACGCCGGTCGACGAACATGGGAACAAACCAACAGATATGCTCGTGACTGGAAGCCAGTAGCTATGAACATGAACAGTTATGATGCAACATTCCGAGACGCCATATGGACACAATCAAGACATCGACGTGATCCGGGATATTGGGATGAACCATACTGGGACCCGAACAAGCTGGCGACAACCCGAAGAATCCGAAGAAGCTGGCGAGCATGGGACCAAGATCGTGAAGAAGAAGAACAATGTGAACATGGTGAACAGGACCATGAAAATGAGAATGATACCTGACAAGAACAAGGTCAGCGCACGATGCTTGACAGTAGACGTCGTAAGCGTATCTGCAAGTGAACTTTCTACAGATGAAAGGATGCAAAGCTCTTTCTACATCGTGGCGAAGAACTACTGAGTGGAATCTGAGCGAGGCAAACCTTCACTGTCGGTTTTCACAAATTAAGTTTGTATAGCCAAATGGACGAGGCGCACGCTGTATGTAAAAGACCGCTTAGTTCCAATAATAGTGATTTCGATAGGTCTCGCGGCAAAATATAGCGAACCACTGTACAGAGTCCACTACCCTTGAATTTCAAGTGTGACCACTGCTGATAGCATCAGTCACACGGGGGGTGTCAATAGCAGTGGGACGATAGCATACCTTGGCATAGCCTATGCATGTACAGCATACATTAGCGTGTCACGCCAACTCTTTGGCTCAAGACTCCCGTAGTTCAAGCGGAAAAGAAGTGCGCGCCATTGCTGACTACAAGGGAGAGGATAGTCTACTCATCCTTCCCGTTGAGCAGATTGAATTAATATCCACACGCATATTATATTATATATGTTTGTTGTTATGTATACATATTTTTCTGGGGTATCGTTTATTTTGAACTATTGATTGCTCCTGCAAAATGACCAGCCAGATGGCTTGATTTAAATTACGAAAGCCAGCCGATAGGCTAGGGTGGAGTTGTCGATGGGCGACAGAAGGGGGGGTGGTCGCACAGAGGGCAATTTGGGAGGCTGAGGGTGAGCCCAGAGCCTGGCGGGGAGCGAATAGAAAGGGCTGGCAGAATGGCAATGAACATGTATTCATTTATTGATTTTTGTGCGTTGGGATGCAAGCGACGTAAATGACGGCGATGAGTGCATCATTGGCATCATGAGGGGCTTAGGAGGCAATGTAAACAGTCTTCTAGCAGGGGTGGGAGTTCATGTCGATGATAGGACAGGGGGACAACCGGACGCGAAAGGGAGATGCGCGTGTTTGGTGGCTAGTTGAAAAGTCTTCGACCAGGGTGAAGGGGGGGCGCGCGTCTCTCAACACACTGTTGTCTTGTAGAAATGATGTGATCTGCGAGGAACAGAATGCTGTGTGGGGAAGTGTGATCCGTTGAGGGCAGCAGAGGAAACAGAATGCGGTGGGCCAGGGTGGAAGACAGGCATAGTGGAGGAGGACGCGGTAGGAAAAGAGGGATCGCAAGAAATCTATGAGTTGCTTGCGCATGCCCTTTCTATGGTGAAGACACCGGCACTTCTAAGGAGAGCGAAGGGGACACCGTGACGGGAAAAGAGTGAGATGAGCGTCTCCGAACCATCACTTTCTCCAGCCGATAGCCTCAAGCAACCTTTCCTTGATGTTACGCCCATGATCTTCGCAGTAGACTTCCGCCAGTCCGCTCTTGGCGGCGCACCATGACTCTGTCTACAAGACAAAAAAAACCGCGAAACCAGTTCCTTCGGGGTGCCCTTTTTCAGCTTGACAACGCCCTGGAACCACGAGAAAAAAGGGCGCCCTCCCCCGCCTAGACTAGGTATTCTTGCTGAAACACCCGCCAGCGTGGCTACCGTGTCGATTTCACCGCGTTACATTGCTACTCTGTGCTGGATGTTAGACACTCACTTGATCTTGGCTGTAACGTCGGACCACCATCTACACAGCAAGGATAACGATCAGCGCGCAAGCGCCCGTCAATTCCTTCGGGGTGCCTTTCGCAGCCTCGAAACAACCTTAAGTCAAATGACAAAGCACCCCCCCAAACCTATACAGTATCTTCCCAACAGCTGTAGACATCGCCGCCATGTCGACTTACCCCAATCAAGCGCACCAGGTTTATGAGTCCATAACCAAACCGCAGACAAGCAATGACTTCGGGGTTCCTTTTTTTGCTCTTCCAAACGCCCCTTCCTCCAAAAGAAAAAAGCCCCCCGCCCCCCCCGGCCCCGCCTTATGCTTCCCAACGCTTCCTCTGCGCTCTCGCGTTCACCCCCATTGACCATATTCATATTTCCTTGCGGAAGCTGGCTTTCATCCCCTCCCTTCTCAGGCCTAAATTCAATATACGTTTCACTCTTTGGCTTGTCATTGTATGCTCTCCCACATTTGGTCTCATTCATTTGGTTGTCCATTTTTGACAAATCTCTTATGGAGGCTTCTCCATAGCCAGCCCGTTAACCAGGTTTGCTTTTGGCTTGACATTTTCTAGGGGCGCCTTCACAAGTCATGCCAAAGTAATATATCTTTTGCCTGTCATTCTATAGACATAATGTCTCTGTAGGATGCCGGGCAAGTGACCCCAACCATCATTCAGGGAGGATGCTGGAAGCGACTTTGGTTGTCTCATCAGTTGATCATTGAAAGTTGACGGATGCTTCACTAGGGTAGAAAACATGCTGCAAAGTGGGCGGTGTGTGAAGCCCAACTCTTGCTTGCAAGTTGCATTGGGCTTCAATGCTGGGACAGCTGGCCAAACCATGCTCTCCCGTTGCTCATTGTCAGCCTTTGCTGTCAGTGGTTTGTTCCTAATTGAACAATATGTTGCTATGAAAGCACCCCAAGAGAGGATAAACGGAGATGAGGAGAGTAAGGATCCGACAAGAGCAACAAAATGTTTGAGCGCCTCATGATCACAAAAGTGTCAAGGGGCACACGGATGCCAAGAACATGGAGCTGTCTACTGCAGCCAATTAACTGGTTAGGCACCATATGTTTGTTCATCCTGACTGCGGAGCCCCAAAGCGAAGCGCGTAAAAAGGGCGCGCAATCTTGCCGTGCTTAATTAACACGTTGAGATTTCCTTGCCCAATTTTTTCTTGCGCTTGTATACTGTAGGTCGAACAAATGCGCGTAAACACGTTGGTTCAGAATTTTCACACCCGCTGGCTGCCTCCAACAATTGAAGCATGCCGCCAAAGAAGAAAGCAGAAGAGGACGGCTTAACAGTAAAGAAATAATTCAGGTGGAACCACCGCTGTGACGCAATCAAGAGTTTTGACGACATGAGGAGGCGATTGGCCCGTGGATGCTTGGAAGATGGTCCCGGGCATTGAAGGTGGGCCTGGTTGGAATGCCGCACCTCGCACTTCACATCATTGTGTTTGGTATTAACAAAAAGTTGTTAGAACTGCTTGGTCGGTCCTAAGTCTTGTTCATCATTAGGTCGAGTGCTGAACATACATGGTTTGTTTGTGCTGGAAAAGGTTTGCATTTCTCAGCTCAGGAATGTTGGCAAGAGCACTCTCTACAACACTTTGAGCCCCGGGGCAGCAGTAGCATGGTGACGTCAATGGTGCTATGAGCAGGCGTTCAAAAAATGCAACATGTTGCTGCAACAGGACGACACCGATTAACCCCAGACTTTGTTCAGTGTGCTGCGTTAACGCAAGGCAAATCACATCACTCCAAAACGGCAAATGTTTCTTGGCTTGGGGTACAGCTGTGAAAGGAGGGTTGCCAATGCGTGCCAAAGCGCGCCAATGCTTGAGCTGTTTGAATCTGACATACACCGGTGAAAACTAACATTTTTGCCAAAAAAGAATAGTTTCTTTTTGGCATATGTTAGTCTAGTTTCGGAGCGGACACCATTGAGACTAACCTAGGCCAATTTCAGATGTGCCATGGTGGGCCATACGGGTATTTGGCACGGTCCATGTTAGCCTCCACCGGGCTATGTTGACCTCTACCGGCGCGGTCTATGTTAGCCTGCGTTCAGTTTATAGTCACTACCAGGTAGGCCCTAGAGGTGTGTGGCATGGTCCATGTTAGCCTCCACCGGGCTATGTTGACCTCTACCGGCGCGGTCCATGTTAGTGTCAAAATCGATCATAGACTGAGAGTGGGAACGGTCCACGTTAGCGAGCGTCCAGAAATTGCCAAAAAAACGCTAATATCGTTTCCCAGGAAGTCACCGTTTCCAGTGGGCCATGTTAAAGCGCACTTGAAATTGAGTTCTGGTCTATGTTGTTTTTCCTCGGAGTATGTACATTATACATGACTGCTGCGTCAATCAAGGTGCCTTTTTGCACAATTGATCCCACAGAGACGCGGGCTTTCTTGGAGGATGAGCGCTTCGACTGGCTTGTCGCGCAACATAAACCCAAGAGTGAAGTAAAGGCGCTGCAGTGAGTGAAGCAGGATGCGGAGGTTGAAATGAAAAGGTGAGAAGCGAAAAACATAGAAAGAAGATGAGAGAAAGTAGGTGGAGAGGATATTTGTAAGACTTCAATTGACTTCGAGCAAAGTAGCAAAGCCTCATAATGTAGAGTTGTGTCATTATATGTCATTATTAGTCTTTCCACTAAATTCAGACCTTGGAGGCCTTTGTGACCGTAGTGGACATAGCTGGGCTCATATCTGGCGCTCACAAAGGCACTTTTTGGTGAGTGAAAAGCGATGTTTTCTTCAAGATGCAATATGTTTGTTTGCTTTGGGCAGGCTTGCTCATTTGCACAATAGCTTCTAGTTGATCTCGACTGTCTCAGATGTTATGGTGTTGATAGTTGATAGATGTTTTGCTAGCATGGACCAACAAATCAGCATCCCACAGTTTCACCCACTTTGGCCGTACACCTTGTGAAAGTAGAGAGGACAAGTCTCACGGAGAGTCTCCACTGTAAATGCAAAGCGAGGCTGTAGACCATGGGCGCGACACATCCAGAAACAAACAGACAGACAGAGAGAGAGAGAGAGAGAGAGCGCGAGGGGAGAGCGGAGAGGAGAGAGAGGAGGTGCGTCAAGATAAGTATTTGCGGGCATCGACCAAGCCCCGAAAAAGACATATGGGCACACACACAATGCTTCATGTGACCCTTGCCTGTGCCTTCAGAGCACCAACCTTGAACAAGGATAGTCCGACTTTGGCAAAGTTAGGGCGGGCTGTGGTGCAATGCAGGAGCCCACCAACAAGCTTTTGATTTCCCACTCCAAGCTGCGATGTGGAAACATGCAATCGCATGAAATCAAAGCTCAATGTCAAGCGAATGTTCCAATTTGTTTGGATCAACGCCTGCATGAGCCATCAGAGTGTCCCATTGGGACGGCTGCGCAGCGGCTAGACAATCTAGAAGAGAGAGAGAGAGAGAGAGAGCTAGACTGCAGAGGGAGAGGAGGGGAAACGCAGAGCCGAAGACATCCCTGTCACATGTTTTGGCGATTGGTGAGGCGAAGGGTTGGGCAACGCATTCCTCTCTCACATCCAATCAGTGGAAACCTGACGGCAAGAGCTTTCAGCAAAGGTTCCTCACAATTGGTGTGAAGAGCTTTATGCTGAAATCTATGTATAGTTACATATACTGTAAGTATTTCTGCCAAGTCACCTGGAGCGAGCACAGGACGGCATATGCCACGTCATGAGAGCCTTTGAAGATGATGATGTCATCCACGCAGAAGACACAGTGGACCCCGTCTTTTTGCTGAATTTCGCACAAGCAGTACATAGAATTAACACTTGAGAATCCTAAACGAAGCATGCCAGATGTGCGTGCATTTGCAGTTTTTGTGCAAGTTCTGGCGTTAGATTGTGATGTTTTTTGGCATTACAATGCATTACATGCGTAGCATTGATTTCTGGAAACGCAAAGAAAAGGTTGCATCGGCCATGGTGTATTGATCGGCGCTGTCACTACAGGTTCGGGACATCAACACAATTTGTGCAGAACTGCGATTGAAAGACATTTCCTACATGAAGGGCAAGGCGGGGCAAGGCAACGTTCGGATGCACGTAACTCTGTAACTCTTAAGAAGTTCCTTTAAACGCCCAATTAATTATAACTTACTAGCTTTTACTGTAAAAGTGTCTTGTTGCAGCCTCAAGTGGAAAACAATTTGGCAGGTTGAATTCCACAAGAAAGGCCATGCAGCTGCAAGGACCAAGTCACCAGCGCATCTTAAGACGCTTGTTTTGCCTTTCTATTGGTTCGGCTTCGCCTTGTGTAGGGAACGATTGCGCGGGATGATTGCTGGGAACTTACGACTCAGGAAGTGGGAGGAGGAACTGGAATGCATGGAAAAGATCATTGCCTGGCTAGAGGAGGGAAAGGACGCCGTGAAGTCCGCATTCAGTCTTAAAAGTCAGGTTTCAATCCTTTCACAAGTGTCACATCTCAAAGTTGTTCGTTACGAAAGCCAGCCGATAGGCTAGGCTGAAGTGCTTCATGGGCAAACGAAGTGAGTATTAGGGGGTGTGGCGGGGATGGTTGCGGGCGGGTAGGGTGAACCCAGAGCCTGGTGGGGGAGCGCGGAGAAAGTGGGGTGGCCAAAACGCAGTCGAAATGCAACTTTATGAGGGCCTTGGTGATGCGAGCGATGCCAAAAAGGTGGAACAGCTCATTGATAGCTTCGCAAAGTGGCCAGGACACCACTCAAGTGGACGACAGTCTCTGTGAATCTTCCCTGTTGTTGGTATCTTGTGTACAGCCGAGTTCTGTCCACGGTACATTCTGCTGCCATTTGGGTTTACAGGGCCCTTGAGCTTTCCCGCGCTTACGCCTGCGTGAAAACGCCGTTGGACGTCGCGGTCGGGGCCAATTTCATATTGGTAATTCGTGTTCCGTCCCACTGCATCCAGATGCCCATAAATCCGCCGATCCAGGATTCGTTCGTGCATTCGTGCCGAGGATTTGCAACCAAGTGTTCTTGAAATTGCCCGTTGAGGCCTGACAGACAGGAAATGTCGGTCGCAGGACTTCACTTTAACCCCGACAAGAATTCAGCAGGCGGTACTCAGTTGGAGACCAAATCTGGCTCGTACACCTACTATGGTGATGCCGCATCGTTTCATGACTGCGAATTTCGCCCAGGCCTTCGCATTCGCTTGTGGAAAGAAGGCAGCAAACGCAAGAGCAATTCCAGAAAGAGTGCTCCAGCGACAACGCCAAAGAGGAGTGACATGCCCAATGGAGGTACCGAAGAGGACGCTGAGCTCCCAGGTTTCCCTCCTGTCGAACCAGAAGAAGAAGAGGAAGTAGTCATCACCAAGCCAGACATCAGCACACTCGTGAACAAGATCCTCGAAGGTTTGCGTGGAGATGCCTTTTTGCTTGCCAGGGACGTCGGTCTTGATGCCCTCACCAGTGAGGAAGGATTGGAAGACCTATTGCAAAAGATGAAGGCTTTCGTATTCCCACGTGCCAATTATCAGAGGCGAAGGAGTTGTTCCGCGCTGGCCAGAGGCCCTTTGTCTCGCCAATCTGGAGAGTCCATGCTGTCGTACACCAACCGACGCAAGCGTTGGTGGTCCGTGCTGCAGGAATTGGATTCGACCATGATTCTGAGTGACAGTCTTCGTGCCGAACTGTTGCTCGGTTTGTCGCGCCAGGAGATCCTTGTGACCAAAGCATACGCCACTCCCAAGAACGAACTTCGAAGGATATTGCAAGGTTCTCGTTGACCAGGAGTTCACCTCAGAGAAGGTGGCAAGATATGGCAAGGCCGCTCTTCATGTTTGGGAAGGGCAAGAGCTTTTCGAACCATTCAGGAAAAGGCAAATCATTTCGTTCTGCGTATGTCTCATACCCTGAAGTGGATGAGCATTCGTCGTCAACATGGGAAACCATGGAAGAAACATTGAGACCAACTTCGATGAAGGCGACTCCCACGCCTGGTTGGGAGATGGATTTGATGAAGAGGAAGAAGTGCAGGAGCAAGAGTTCGATTACCTTGAAGATGAAGAAGAAGCAATTGCTTTGAACGCAATGTTGGACCTCGAAGAGGCCGACGACCGCCAAGCAGGAGAAGCCATCCAGCTTCAGCTCGCTGCATTCAATGCATTCGGCAAAGCCAAAGGCAAAGGTAAAGGTTTTGGCAAGAAAGGATTCAAAGGTAAAGGCAAAGGCAAGGTTGTCCGCAACCAGATGAGCGTTGAACAACGCCGGCCAAGTCAAATTGTCTTCGCTGTGGAGGCATGGGACATTGGGCCGGTGTCCCTGGTTGCAAGCTTGCGAACAAGCCACAACCCCCGAAGCCTACTGCCAACCTAGCCTACATGAGAGTGAATCATCAGATGATGAAGAAGGGTTTGTTTATGTAGGTGCAGCCACATCTACTGAGCAGACCAATGCAGCCATGATCGATGGCATTTCGACCAGGAGCATCCGGTAAGGGTTCACTTCCCCGTCTGTTGCAGGCACAGTCGTCCATGGTTCGTGCAAACGATGCCACATCGTCCGACTCAGGCACCCGAGTGACTCCGTCGTCGGTCGAGCGCCCCATGGGATTCGACAATGTGTTTCAGATTGGACAGTTCAAGGGGAAGACCTATTGGGATGTTCTGCATCGACAACCCCAATTCTATGTATGGGCAAAGACGGAAGGTTCTCGTGTTCCCGGAATTCAGCAGTATGTGCAATGGGTTGACCAGTTCTTTGAGTTCACTTACATAATCTGTTTTTTATAACATGTTAAGTAGAATTAACCAACTTATCACGAAACTATTAAATATAACTATATAGTTAGCCAGAGTTAACAAGTCACTTTTGAAAAGTAAATGTACAGAACATAAGCTTTGGAAAGAACAAAAATATAGTTACCAGCTGCTTGATTTTAGCTGGTGGCTCTTATTTACATCGAGTAAAATCACATGGTGTTGAAAAATGCTTCTTTTGATGGAAATGCCACATGGCAAGCCTATTAACTGTTCATATCAAAATGTTCCAATAACCTATACCAACCCATCCTACATGAACACTTTGCTGGGTTTGATGAAATGCCAAGCCAATCGACTGTTGCATTGCCACTTTTCACGCATTCACTGGCCTGATGAAATGCCGTGGAGCCAGTTTTGGCGCTTAGAAATACAAAACCAGCCAGCGCATGGACTCTGCTTAGGATCCTTTTCTCCAGCATTTGGGAATAGATTGGGTAAGGCAGAAGCGCCTTGGCTGTGCCTGTGCTTTTGTGGCAAATCACAGGCATAATTATAATGATGTCTGCCGTGGGTACAACCCCCAAGTTGTGGTCCAGCACTTGGCAAATTGCACATTGCTTATGTGGAATCCATTCTTTGACCAGCCAAGACTTCACCAAGGTAGTGGCAAGATCATGCAACAGGAAATGCAATTGGATTTCTGCAATCCCCATGGACTCACCTGCCTGGTAAATGACAATGTCATCCTTGAAGCAACTCATATGGTTCACTTTGGCACACGGGCCTCGTTTGGCCTCTCCAATTGGCTCACCAATCAGATTAGATAAAGTTTGCAAACTTTTCTTGGAAGCTGAGATGGGGTCAACCAAATGCACACCATCTTTGAACAACTGTGGCTGGTCCAAGTGGCAGATCTCCTTGGCAAGAGCTTGCTCCAAGAGATTGGTTTCAACATTCTTCTTGTTTTGCAAACTAGTGGCCAATTGGCCGATTGGCTTGTGCTTTCTTTCATTGGCAAAGCATGATGGGAGAAAGCCACATCTTTGCTGTGTATCTGGCATATGGAGCAGCCAATGCCATTTCTTTATCAATGACACTTCTGGGAAGGCAGTCTGGAATCACTGTATGGCCAGCTCTACGGCTGGCAATAAAGTGCCTTTGCTGATGATGCCAGCAAGGTTTCCATCATGGACCTGGTCAATGAGAGATGCCATTGCCAGCAAAGCCTGGCAAGCTGGAGCTTGGAGGCCATTGGGCAATGCCACGTCGTAAACAAACTGGCGCACAATTGGGTATATGGCTAAACACTCTGAAGCTTGGACTGAAATCTTTTGATTGTTTTTGTGGCTTGTCATCTTCTTCTTGGAGAAATAGGTTCCAACATGCTTGCACTTCCAAGCTCTTGGGAAAACCCAAAACTGGAAGTAAGTCTCCAAGCCAGACCACACTTGGAAACCTTCTTCCATGGCACACAGAGAATGGTATAACACAATGGGTGCAGTTCCCTGCAATGTGCCATGCATGCAATCATGTGCAAACTGGCTGCGTGGCCTCACTTGGCCCATGGATTCCAAGTCTGGGTCGAGCAGCAAAGCCTTGGAGCGGTGGTTCCAGCCTGTGGCCTGCTGCCACATGTCAAATTCTGCTTTGGTGCACTTGGTCTTTTTGGAATCCAATTTGGCATATGACTGGGGAACCTCTGCATCACTGGTCAACACCAACTGGCTGTACTTTGTGATGTTGCAGTGCATCTGGTCCTCTGTGGTGCCACTGGCTTGAACATTGGCACATACCATCAGCTAACAGCAAGGAGAAGGTGATTTGGAGCCTGATATCTTGGCATTGTGGGCCTTTCAACAAAAAGCCAGTGGGTGGATGAATCATCTCATGGCAAAAAATGCTTCTAAGCAGAGCAGTGGTGATTTGGCCAACACCAGCTTCCACAGCTGATACATTGCTTGATCTGACCAAAGCTATGGTGAGCCAACTGTCTGTGGGAGGTGCTGACCAAATTGGAGGAAACTGGCATACCATGCCCAGCTCTTCCTCTTTGCCCTGCCCAACACATTTCCAGGCACCAACTCGTCCAAGTATACAACTAAAGACCATGGCTTGCTGGTCGAAGATGAAATCATCAAAATAGTTCAGTTCAGAAAATTCTGAACTTAACTCTTAAATTTTTAAAGTTAAGTTCAGAATTCGGAACTGAACTCTTAAATTTTTAAAGTTATAACGACGGCAGAATAGATAGAAGTGCAAAAAAGTCAAAAACCAGGGTCTATAGCCGACCGAGCTTTTGACATTTCTATCTTTGGTATCTGCCTGTAAAACACAGGGCAAGTGACTTATTTAACAAAAGACCGCCCGACCGAGCACCCAAAACACTTCTATCTTTGAGATTTCAAGTGAGTATACATGCCACAAACAAAAAACTTCAATCATTTCCCTCCACAAGTTGTCTGACAGGCCATCCGGCATTTTCTCCCTAAAGCTGGAAACTTGGGCATACCACTTGCAATGTGTGATGTGCTCCTTCAAGGTCATGTTCTGGAGGCATTCCACGCTCAAAGCCGTGGTCGGATCGTTTCCACTTGGCTTTTCCCAAAGCGAATCCAAGAGCTGAGCCTTGGCTAAAGCCTTGGGAGTTGGTGAGACCGCACCTGCCAAAGAGTCAC